ATGCCTTCTCTTCAATGCTAAATCTTCCCAAGAGCAGGAGACTTGCGGAGTCGTGGATTTTGGCGTGCCCAAACGAGTGTTTAGGATGATGTTTGACGTCACTGTTATACTTCTTATACAGTCTCCTCTTTATCCGCTCAAATGTTTTACTCAAGATGTGATCAATTTACGTTACCTTTTTGTGTATGTGCTAGTATGACATAATGTATTTTGATGTAATTTTTGTCGTGTTAAGACTATTTCAGTGTGCAATCCAGATACGTTAAATTGCGACGTTTACGAGCTGTTTTGCTGTTTTTCCGCCATGGTCTAAAAACTGGCACATGACACAGACACGCAAGTTTCCGAAACAGCTTGTCCCATCGCCTTGAAACCTTCACCAATCAAATCCGTGCAATGGGATGCGTCATGGGGGAGGCAATATCGAGGCCTGACCTGAGGTCTAACATCTCGAAAACACGAAGGGAAAATTTGACATGCAAATGCAGGCAACTCAGATCTCAGAGCCTGCTGGACCGATCACTCTGAAGCCTTCACGATTGAATGCCCTATACCTGGTTCTCCATCGCAGTTCCAAATTTAGTGACCCTAGATCATGTAAAAAGTCGTCAAAGTTAACAGTCCGAAATATTTGTTTGCAGACCACCTATAGCCCAAAACCTACCGAGCCGATCACTGCCAAAACTGCACCATAAGATGCCCCATATGTAATTCCCTCGTCGCAGTTCCAAATTTGGTGACTTTAGGTAAGTTTAAAAGTCGTCAAATTTCACAAAATCCAAAATTACTGCTTGCAGGCATAGCTCAGAATCTACCACGCCGATAACTGCCAAACCGTACCATTCAGTACGCCATCTACCCTAATCTTCTGTTGAGGCTGCCATTTATAATTGCGTCTTTTACTTTATGTTTATTCCCCCATAATGTACGGATTGGTTACGCTGAGCGTGTGAGGTTGAATTTCTGCTTAGCGGAGGCGTTAATTGTGGCATTTTCATGCGCAATTCTGCGCATGATTTTTAGCACAACACCTTCGCTAAAGAGAAATTTACCCTCACAAGGCCTGCCTAACCAAGATGCACTTTTCCTTGGGAACAGGCATAAAGGATAAAACATAGTTATGAATGGCACCATGCTTGCAGTTCCACATAAAATGAGGGTAGATAGCGTACTGAATGGCAAGGTTTGGCAGCTATCGGCTTGGTACATTCTGAGCTATAAACTGTCTGCAAGCAAGAATTTTTGATTTTGTGAAATTTTTCGACTTTCGATTTTACTAGGGTCACGAAACTTGGAACTGCGAGAGGGAATCAGGTACGGGGCATCCGGAATTTTGGACTTTGTGAACTTTGACTAGCTTTGACCTGACCTAGGATCACTAAATTTGGAGTTGCAATGTAGAATCAGGTCTGGGGGCATCCAATGGTGAAAATTTCACGGTGATTGGTCCAGTAGGTTCTGAGATCTGAGTTGTTTACATTTGCCTGTATAATTTTCCCTTCGCGTTTTCGAGATGTTTGACCTCAGGTTAGGTCTCGATATTGCCTTCCTATGACTCACCTCATTGCACAGGATTGATTGGTGAAGGTTCAAGGCGATCGCACGAGTTGTTTCGAAAAACTTGCGTGTCTGCGTCATATGCCAGTATTTTAGATTCTGCCGTTTTTCCGCTCTCCCTGCCTGTCCGCACGGTCAGGCAGTCGATTGTTTACAGCGGGATCGGAGGGTGGTGCTTCTGGGCGCATGGGTGTAGGTGGGTTTACAGCAGGTGAATTGAGCATGTGCTGATGAGGAGCAACGGACCTTGGCACTGAGTGCATCGAAAGGAAACAATTGTGCGATATGATATGCCTTTGTGTGTCATATGATGTGTGTTATGATATGTGTATACGTGTGATATGTGTGTTATGATGTGTATGCATGTCATATGGGTATGTGATATGATTCTGAGTGTGAGTGTGCGTGTGTGTGCGTGATATAATCTGTGTGTGGTATGAGTTTTCATGTTTTCTCCAGTATACATTTCTGGAGGACAAAACGCCTTGGGGCCAAAAGCACCAAGACACGCTCAAATTTCAGACATTGTTAGCACTACAGCCCGAGAGTGGAATTTCATCCTCCGCACTACCCAGATGTTGCGGTCTTCCCCAAGGCCCTATGGTCCAAGATTATTGTACAATACAATATTATACAAGAATATTATACAAGAACAATATTGTACTCACCCAGCAGATAACACTCTTCTGTAAATTGGGCGCCAAAATTTTTCTAGACACCTGGTCGATTTGTCGATCTCCGTCGCGACGCACATACTGTCTTGGTCGCGGCTGGAGAGTAGTGACGTCTTGGTCGGGTCATTTGAAGGCATATATATATGCATAGATATATGCATATACATATATATATATATATATGTATGTATGTATGTATATATATATATATATGTATATATATATATATATATATATGTTCAATTATGTATGTTCAGTTATATATTCAAATAATGTTGTGGAATATGCTGCCGTCTCGCCAACGGATAACAGTGTAACCAGCACTCCATATAATCGAGGCCCTGCGGCAGCCTGTAAAAACGCATACGCTGCACCGGACACCTACCCGACATTGGTGCGCCGAACCTCGTGCTCGCGTGCCGCGAACTCAGTCCAGTGCACGTGCTGAATTTCGAATAACCTTGGCTCAAAAAGTGGTTTTGGGTAATTCTGGTAAAATTTTCCCATCAGCATGATTCCCTGAACATTGGCTCTTTGTGTGCTGCGATTGGTGGCATCATGCGCCAAAGTCTGAGCGCTGAAATTTTCGGCTTCGTGTGCCCAAATTTTGGCCCTACTGCCACTGTTGTGCTGGACATGTCCGGTGTAACAGTTTTGGGTTGCAATTTGGGCCTGTATGTATATATATATATATATATTATAATAATATATATATATATATATATATATATGCATATTAAACAGCTGATCTTGCTAATCAGCTGCTGGATGGTAGCCTGCACCTGCTAAATCTGTTTCATGACATTTATGAGAAAACAGGTACTTCAGTGATGTGTGTCAATTTTATTTTTGTCAGGTAACAGGAGCTGGCCTTTTTACACCTTCGGGCAAAGCTGAACATTCAGAACTTTTACTATCCTGCCAACCCACGGCCATGAATATCTCCTTGTCTGGCAAGCGTGTGCTCGTCACGGGCGCCGGCCGCGGCCTCGGAAGAGGCGTGGCGCTGCGCGTGGCCGCGTGCGGCGGCCATGTCATCGCCGTGTCGCGCACGCAGGCCAACCTGGACAGCCTGAAGGCCGAGTGTGCGGCCATCGAGACCGTCGCCTGCGACTTGAGCGACTGGGCGGCGACGCGCGCCACACTCGAGGCGCTGGGCCCCGTCCACGGCATCGTCAACAACGCCGGCGTGGGCTTGCAGGAGCCGTTCATGGAGGTGCGGCCGGAGAGCATAGACGCCATGTTCGACATCAACCTGAAGGCGGTGGTGAACGCGTCGCAGGTGGTGGCGCGCGGCATGCTCGCGCGCGGTGAGGGCGGCGTCATCGTGAACATGTCGTCGCAGGCGTCGCAGCGGCCGCTGGTCGACCACGCCGTCTACAGCGCGTCGAAGGCGGCGCTGGACCAGCTGTCGCGCGTCATGGCGCTGGAGCTCGGGCCGCAGGGGATCCGCGTCAACTGCGTCAACCCCACCGTCGTGATGACTGACATGGGGCGACTCGGCTGGTCGGAGCCGGCCAAGGCGGAGCCGATGCTGCGCGCCATCCCGCTCGGCCGCTTCGCCGAGGTCGAGGACGTGGTGGACGCGGTGGTGTTCCTGCTCAGCGACCGGGCCAAGATGATCAACGGCGTCCGACTGCCGGTGGACGGCGGGTTCACCGCCTGCTGAGGACGCAGCTGCTGCTAAGTAGGCTCGGCAGACGACCTCCTGTTAGACAGAAGTGGACAGCTCCTGTTGAGCTGTTGCTGAGGAGCCGGCTATGTCTCCTGCTGAGCTTCTGCTGAGGAGGCGGCTATGGCTCCTGCTGAGCTGCTGCTGAGCACGCGGCCGCAGCTCGTGCTGAGCTCCTGCTGAGCAGGCGGCCTCAGGTGCTGATGAGCGGTGGTTGATGCTGGGGACTGATCGAGGACGGGAGGAGCTGCTTAAGAAGCCTGCAATAGCTTGGCGTAGACGTCTTCGTTTATAACAGACACGCATGCTCGGAAAGCACATCTGAAAGGAATTATGTACAGTGCGTAAAATGCATCACAGAATTTCGATAGTGGGTCGCATTGCTTGTCTTTAAGAGAAAGGCATGAATTATCGGTAGCTGATGGCGACAAATCATTGTGCTGTATGTCATACGCGTCCTGAATTAGATATGCATCCCGATTTCAGAACGTTTGTTTTAATGCTACTGAAGTGTATCCGATGAATATGGTACAGGTTTATCACGTACTCATCGCTCCTGATGAACCGCTATAACTGTTGTGTCATTTGATGGCATGTCATTGTGTTGAGGTACTTCGATGCCCCTGAGGCTTTTATTTGTTACGTGGGCCGCAAAGAAAACTTACCAAAGTGTCGGCGCGAGCCACGTGTTTGTTACGTGCGCATTGGGCCACTCTGCAGGAGATTCTGAAGGCATTATGTTTCAGCGGGATGGTAGAAGATTGATTATGTAGTGCTACCGAGCTTTTACTCAAATAAAAGGGTGCTGGAGACAAACGTGTTTTAACACGCCCGGGCGGCCGGTTGGGTACCCTTCGCTTGGGTGGGGTTCGGTTTGGCCCGCTGAGATACCATGAACTAAGAGGGATAGAGACACCAAATTCCCAGGGTATGCTTGCCTGTACGTAAATTCACTTGGGTCAAAGTTTGTTCACGTATTCTAATTCTTAGATAGGCACTGTATCGTGTTAATGGCTGGCACTTGCTCCTTTTTAACCCCCTGAATGTTGGTGTCCTGTAAGAACTGTCGCTTGCCGTTTTAAAAAAAAACCTGAAAAATCGAGCAGGATCGTCAACAGGCAATTTTGAATTCGCTTCCGCTTTTGTATCGATAGGGGCATGTCGACGAAATATCAACCCAACCTTATCTCCATTCTCTTGCTTTTTTTCCGAGCAATAAGACTACTCTCTTATCGAAGTGTATAATGCTCCTCGCTATTGCAGTGAGCAACTTACGCAAGACTGCCTTGAGCTTTACATTTGAATCAGCGACAAAGATAATTCCTGTCAGCATGTTCCCAAAAAGCAACATGTTGACCCGCGTCATTTTAGGTCAGCGACCTACTCTGACCATAAATAAGTTCATGGAAGATGTCTAATGGGGTTCCTGCTATCAATAAATTTAAAATGGACACCAGAAGCTATCCCATACAGCAAGCCATAGAGAAATAAAGCAAGTTGGCATAATAATAAAGCAAAGAAATAAAGCAAGCAAAGCAAAGAAATAAAGCAATAAAGCAAATAAAGCAAATAAAGCGACCAGACGTCTTTCATAGCCAATGTCGGCCGACCCGGTCCCCGCCCGCTCCGCCACAGAATACGGGCACGAAGCCAAGCTTCCTCATGGAATGCCGCCGGTCACGAAATGCGCTGTGCCGACCTCGCGCTACCGGTGCGCAACGCCGCCATCCCGGTGCTCCCACCAAGCGCGGGCGCCGGTCGCCGGCGCGGGGTCCGGCCGCTGCCAACCCGCTAAGAAACAAGCCGCCGGCCAGGTGCCCACTCCCGCCTGGCTAACACAACGGAAACGCTATCTGCAGCCGCCACGACACGGCACGGCACGCGGCACGGTGGGGCGGCGCCGAGTCGGGCCGGCCCGGGCGCTAGTCCTAGCCCTCCTCCGCCTCCATGGTGGCCGGCTGCTGGTTGTAGCCGGTCGCCGAGCCGCCCATGCAACCGGCGCCGCCGCCGAACTGCGGGCGCACGAGCCAACAGTCAGTCAGATGCCGGGCGTCACCGGCCGGACGCGCCGTGACCTGAGCCGATCACACCACTACACCAGGCTGGCGAGTTCACATAAATCAATACGGGACAACGCGGCTGGAGCACAGCGGCGAAATCCAGGAGTAAACACTCGCGAGCCCCAAACTGACAGTCAGAGCTTCCTCGTCAGGACGATACTGCAACGTAGTTTCCGTTGCAGTGTAGGAAATGTGCGTTACCTTATCGGCAACGTTGCCAATTCTGGGGCACGAAATAATGTCGTAGGAGTAGAATTGACACTGGGTAGAACTTGGCTTCCGCACACGAGTCGTTTCTCTCGTCTGATCATCTAGCGGCCGCCGTTCCACTTAAGAATTATCCTGGGTAAGGAGTAACTGACATAAGCAGAGATAATGCACAATGTCGCAATGTTCCTCGCCACGAGTACCACGAATGCACCCTGTCGGCGCGTTCCTCCCGCCACCCCGCGCCAGTCACGTCCCCGCCGTACCGGCCAGACTCACCCCGCGCCGGATGTCGCGTGACGCGTACGAGCCGCCGGCAGCGCCGCCGAAGTCGGCGCTGCCGGCGTCGTGCTGCAGGAAGTCGGGCACCTCCTGCTCGGCGCCGGCCAGAACCTTCACCAGGTCGGCGGCCAGCGCGCCGTCGTAGAAGATGATGGCGCTGCCGGTGTTGCCAACGCGCCGATGCGGTGCACATAGTCGTCGATGGCCTTCGGCAGGTCGTAATTGACCACGCTGGCCACGTCCTTGATGTCTGGGGGAGGGGCGTCGGTTAGCCAGGGCTGCGCCGGGTCATGCGGATGCAGTGGGAACAGTATCAGGCATGTCGCAACAGTCTACTTAACATAACCAACAAAATAACAAACTACTACCAACGAATTAATCTCTGGTAAGCGTTGTGCTGATGCAAAGTGGATCAGGTTCACTGTTGGATCGGGGACTTTGCTTACCCCTGCTTACTTTCGTTCCGATCTTTTCTGACATTAACATGGATTAACTCCAAACGCAGGTACAATAATTGCTCACGGGAGGACACAACAGCTCGACCTCTGTTTGATGAAAATTTTGACGACGTCTGATCACGACGCGCCACACAACACGCCGGGCATCCAACCACGCAGCGTTCGCTTTCGGCCACGAGCGCACGAGCCCCGCCGACATGAACGGCCTCGGGGCGGCGGCCACTCACCGGGGCCGCGCGAGGCCACCGACGTGGCGATCAGCGTCGGCGTCTTGCCGTACTTGAAGTCAGCCAGCGCCTCCTCGCGCTCGCGCTGCAGCCGGTCGCCGTGGATGCTGGTGGTCGGGAAGCCGGCCTGACACAGGTGCGACGCGATGAAGTCGGCCACCCGCTTCGCCTCCACGAACACCTGGCGAGGGGCAGGCGAGGTCAGACGGCGGCACGGTCGCGCGGCGGCCGCGGCCTCACGGCTGAGGGTTGCCCATGGACCCGGTCCAGGTCGCGCTCGGTGCAGCAAAAGATAACGAGCGGTGGAAACATCACGGTTCGACTAGGCTCTAGCTTAATGCTTCAGCTTATGAAGGTCATATGCATTATTAGAGGAGGCTGACTACAGTCCGCGAAGAAATTTACTGAGCCTTAATGACAAGCTGAATACCCATAACTGCCGTTAACTAGCATTGGGCTGGCTTGAAATCAGCAGTGTTGAAGTTGTTTTGGTCTCACTAGCAGGATCTTAGCTCGGCTCGTACATTACCTCACGACAGCGACACGCGCGCGCGCGAGCGGCCAGATTACCACTGCTCCGTGGGTTCGGGCACGAGTCAGCTGATGATCCGTCAACTGGTCTGACGGGTCACATGACCCGGCGCCGGGAGGCCTATACCACAACAGAAATTGTTACATTTATGTTATCAATTCTTCTTAATAAAGAGATCTGCACATCATTAGAAGACATTACTAACATCGGCGAATGAAACGTCCGTAATGTACTCGGCATGGCCAAGTGCGCAGCGTCTCCCGTGTCGCCATCGCCACCCACATTGTCGCCTCCGGCGTGCCCCTTTCGCCATCGCCACCACCAGGTTCCCACAGGTAGCTGTAGTGAAATGAAGCACTGCTTAAAAACGCAAAACAGGGGAACCACAGATGAACATGACTGAAAGCTGCGGATTTATTTTCAACCCACGACTATCATACAGATGGCAAACGCCATTTACAGGCTCGGAATTAATTGCTGATGCCTTATTAAATTCACACGTCCAGTAAGGTAGTAAGGTGCAGCATGTTTGGAATAACTCACGTCGTACTATAAAGATCTTTGAGATACGAGAACATTTGCATAGAAAAATGGGTTATAGCCTCTTCCTTATAGGCTAAGGCACCACTGTAAAACAATCATAGCCAAGTGCTGTACATACAAGCAGTGCTCCTGAATTTGTGTGCACGCCGCACGGTGCAAGGCTGTGTAGTCTAAACAGCACTCTGCTGCCTGAAGAAACAAATGGTTACCCTTTAGCAAGATGCAGGATGGTACACTTGACTGTTGGTGGGCCAGCCTTTCGCATCGCGCGTCGCAGGATCATGTACGTGCTGCTGGATACCACCAGCTTCTTGCTTGTTGCCGATCGTCGGGAACATAACACAGTGTGAAATGGAAATTGTAATAGACTGTAGATGTGGAGTTAATACCTATGACGATGACTGCAACAACTAAGGTGGGGGACTTATTGGTAACTCCACTCTGGCTTTAGAGCACAGGAGCAAACAAGCTGCAGTAATGTTTTATACAGCATTGTCCATACAATACTACATGAAAGTGTGCAATTTTGCTAATAAGTCAGATTTCAGGCTGTTAGTCCCTTTAGTAATTTAGGTGTTTCATGTGGTCCTTTAAGTCCCTGTAGGTCTCACAAACGTCTTTGTGTTTGGCACGATATGGTCATTACAATACAATGTCAATAGCAATCTTCATTGCAAATTTAATCATCTTTATGCCATTACTTAATGCAGTTTGCAGTATAATTGTTGTGAAACAAATTCCAATCTCCTTGTTCAAGAAGTAAACTAACTTTGAAAATCCAACCCAAAAAGAAAACACTGACCCAGATTCTGGTCTTCGAGATGGTGTAGACACGGGAAGCACTGGGGTGCCTGTAACACCCTTCCTGTGCTGAAAACAATTCGGGACACCAATAATCAGAATCAGAAAGATTAACAATGAACAAAGCTGTCACACAATGTACAGGTCATAGGACAGCGCTTTGACATGTGCACTAAGTATATTGCAAAACAATGTTTTACTTACATCATATACATTTTGGTCAGAAATGACTGCGGCACACTGACATGCATGAATAAATAATGACTGAGAGGTCATGGAATTGAAAAAAACAAAAGGTGGTCATAGAAATGTCACATGTGTTCTAATTTCAAATGAGTTCAAGCCTGAATGTCACGGCTAAATATAAAGTGTCTGACAAAAAAATAAAGAAAGAAAACATAGGCATTCACAGACCTGCAGAGAGGGCACAGCATTGGCCCCAAGCCTTTTCGTTTAGGCTGCCAGGCTGGAAAAGGCATGTGATGGAAAATGTGCCTGGCACACTCCATGCCCCGGCCTGACCCCACTGATACCACACACATGACGCCATTCCTGTTGGTGGCCTTGTTGTGCTGGGAATCTGAAAGGATCACAGGAATTGGGAGAATTGATTACTATACAATACAATGGGCATCTTCTACTTCAAATGAGTAATGCAAACTGAAAATATCTGTCCACAGGGTGTGCATTAATCACTGTGCAAAGTGGTGATACATCAAGAGTACAGACTACAGACATCTGGGTTCCAGAGCATGTCTGACACATCTTGAAATGCTTGTCATCCCAAAAATAAGTAATACAAGCTGAGGCCACACACCCATAAACTTTCCCAGCTGTGAGCATGGTGCATAACTGTCACCAAATCTAGTTAAGAGTAAGTAAATTTAGCTTTTTAAAAAAGTGGCAGCAGCATAGCAATACCCAAACAATAATGTCATTGCCGGAATATGACAGCTCAGAGCTCAGCCCAGTGCAAATCTGATTACGGCACAGAGTCCAGTGATAAGTTGAGCACACTGATGATTCCTGTAATCTGGAACAATGGAATAGTTTTTGACTGATATCCCTGATTCCGGCCTGACTGACAAAATTCACACTGTTCATGCAAGTTTATGCAGGTCATCTGTTTATGAAGTGGTTACATCGAATAGCCAAGGTGTAGCTCCATGACAGCAGCGAGATAGGTGGGCAATGGAAACAAGTACGATGATGATGATGATGATTTGGGCTTTAGGGAGTGCCAACTACATTGCTCATGTGACGCCCATAACTCACTGATGCAAACAGGTAAAAGTATTTGAACTTACTCAAAAACGTAATAAATCAGCTACTCGCCAATGTGCTATACAACGTCCTCCACCAACTTGGTCCTAGCCAATTACTCTCAAAATTAATAGTTTGTATGTTTCGTTTGTAGCAATCAAGTACATAAAGAAAACTATTTCTGAAATTGGTGGCAACCGTGAGCCCAGCTCCTGGCACTTGCACCCACTTTTCAGCTGCTGTATGCATCTGCTTTTTGAAGACGCTGTTTTATTTGTGAAGGCATTTTTGCCGGCATTTTTAAAGGCACTTTTGCCATTTTTGCGGGGCGCGTCCGGCCGGCAGATACTCTCGTAAAATTATCCGGAATATCGGAAATTTTTCGGAATGACGTTCGGCAGTGCCATAGCGAGGGAGAATCCCGGAGAATTCTCAGAGCATGGTCAAGACGGAGAATCTGTTTTCGCCAGCCATGACCGTTGGCTGTGAATGGCGCATGGGAAACTAATCTGGGGGATAATTTCCGGACCGATCGAGTGTAAATGGAACATCTCCATGGATGATTATCGAAGAGATTATTATTCGTTGAATAATTTTCGCTTGACCGGACGCGCCGTGATTGCATACTCATTCCTCAAACTGTGACAACAAGCGACCGCACCGCATGGAAAGCGACCGCACACCATACTCGAGGCTGCATGTCATATTGAGACGTGCATGCCCTGAACTTATTGCTGAGATGTCAGTGACACGATAGACATATTCGGCGTGAAGTATCTTTAACAGATTGGAAGCGAGGTACTTACGCGAACACGGTCAAATTATTTTCTTTGTCCTGCGATCACCGCACACACAGCACCTTATGTCTGGCATCTACCACCGACGCAAAGAGGACACTGCCTGGGAGTGGGGGGGGGGGGGGGGGGAAATGTCCTCTCGACAAATGCCGCAACCCGAAATTGCTCACACTTATGTTCGCGATACGTATTCAGCAGTACAATCTTGATAACAGCCAACCACCTTTCGCGCATTGTAACACATGTGCAGCATCATCGCATTTGCGAACGAATCAGCCGCCGTACGGTTTTTATCATAAACAAAACACAAACAAAAAAACAAACAATAATATCACGGGTATCTAATGGCGTTTCTATGGCATCATTAATCAGAGGGCTATTTTGAAATAGGGGAATTATAAGGATTTTGACACTTTGCGGTCGTGTAACTCAGGAACCAAATCGTTTCGGGTCTTAAAAATGACATGACCGTAAACTGCATCAAAAGGTCGTCAAGATGGCTATTTCAGTTCAAAACGTCATACAAATGTGGAACATTCCCTTCGACGAAAGCTATCAGCCTACCGCAAACAGTCCCCGCGCCACTCTGTAAAGTATGTGCAAAGAAACCACAAAATATCAGTGAAGTGATGCATGTGCCAGGACATGACGGTGGGTCGTCCGCGCAGATGCAGGCTTCAGGATTCTCGTGGTTTGTGGTCAGCCAACTGGCTGCTGCGGCTTCCAAGTGGAGTCTGTGGCCTCCGGAGCTGCGGCCACAGAATACAAACCGGCCCACAAAATTTACAAATTAATAAAACATGTGGTGCCCCCCTAAAGCACGAACACCTGTGTTATCTCAGCGAATGTCTCTCTTTGTGTGAGGGACGGTCGGACTCGCCGAGCAGTTATCTGGTCGGGACAGTGGGACTCGCCGAAGGATTATATGGTCGGGACAGTGTCAAATGTCCCTGACGTCTGGGTGGAACATGACACTTTTTCATTGTTTTTATGCATTCTCACACTAGCTTTTCTTTCATCCTCTCCACCTCAACACCAGTAAAATCAATAAACATTTTTCTGGCTACACCATTAAGTGTTATTTAGAACTTGACAAAGGATTTGGCCCGTGGGTAACGTTTCCCACCTTTGGTGTGGGCAATGTTTGCATCATGCGATGCATTCAATGGCTACAATCTGAACTGATTTTCCAGGTGACCCAAAAGAAGAACCAGAGTCTATCCTTCATTATATCCTGCATCATGCAAAATGTCATCTCTAGGAAAAGGAGAAGGTGATGGCTACTCTCTGAAACTATCATGCTGTGCATCTCGCATGTCTTATCCTGTCTGTAATTGACCTGACCTGGTCTGTGCATCATGATATAATCCTAAGGCCCCATGCGTCCTCTTGTAATTTGTGGCGGTTTAAAATGAGCTACATGCCCACAGAACATGTATTTGCATCAGGCTCATATACAAAAACATACTAAAACTGAACGATATTTGATGACAATAATGCAGCAAGCATTGATAAATTCCATCAGCATGGAATGAGGCTGGAAGCTGCAACTTACATGCTTACTGCATATCCAACATCATTGAAATGTTCTATTCACACCACACGGCCAGTGGTCATGGCGACACAATCACACCGCAAGGCAATGACAGGAGTGTTAATTATTTGGAGACAATTGCAACCAGTCAAAATGCAGTATAACCTCAAATGCGACTGTGATTAGACGCACCGGTCTATTTATAACATGCCTTGATTCATCTACAACCCACCGATCTCCAGGCTACGCTCAAACCCAAGCGATGTACAAAAATAAACAAATCGGCGATCGTAACACGAGCGCCAGATTAGCCTCTGATAGTTTCATCGTCACCGGCAGCGAGATGCCGATTGCCACCCTAGGGATGTCAATTGCCACCCTAGACGCGGCACTGGCTTGCGTCTGTCAGCAGGAACGGATGAAGTTCTTAGGCATATGAAACGATATCTGGAAGTTTGGTTAGGTAGTCCAGAAAACTTGAGTCAAAATGATTGTGCTTTCATATGTACATTTGCCTTTCTCACCACATTACATTTATTCCATGCATTTTTGGCGGTTTCCGGCGTCATTTTCTCCAGATGGGTAGCGGCCCATTTTAAAGCTGCTCTTTGCGGCTTAGATGACCGAACGGAAGCCAACTTCAGCTGAAATACTAAAATTTTACCCAAATGATATACCACGGAGCATGAAAACCGTTTAAGTAGTGTTTTTGTCCTAACTTTTAATGCAATTGGGGATGTATCTATTTTCCATTCGTCACTGCTGCATTAAGGTCTCACCCAAAACTCCATCACAGGTTTTTTCGGCTATCTGACCGTCGTTTGTAAAAAAAACTAGTGGTCAAAGAAAGCGCACCACTGTTATCTAAAAGTCTATGAAATATGAAGTTGATCTATGCGAGTTCCACATTGACTTAAGTATCGTGATGTCAAAAGGATGTGAATTGAGGATGCCGATTCGGTGATTTTTTTTATTCAGCAGCACTGGATGCGACCGGGAAAAAAAACGCGGGGCGCGCGTTGAACGGATGTATAGATTTGTGTGTAGTGCTGGATGGGTGAAGGTATAGCGTTTGATTCATTCAATGTGCACCTTGGATAACACAGCCCGGCAGGTGCCTGATGATCTCGATGATTTGGAAAACCAGATACAATGTATAGTGTCCACACATGACTGCCCAATAGTGATCGCCGGTGATTTAAACATCAACCTGATTGGCTCGAGCACAGGCACTGGCTATCAGAAATTGATGCAACTGTTGCGGTCTTACAATCCGCATATGTGTGACGATTCCTATCCAACGTGCCGTCCTGCTGGCTCGCTGTTGGATGTTACGATCACAAATCACAAGGACCTTATCCAGCGCTGTGGTGTCACCGCCTGTCACTATAGTCCGCATGACTTCACGCGAATGTTGCTGAAAGTATCGAAAGAGAAACACCAAATCAATGTCATCACATCCCGCTGCCTGAACCTAGTTGATTTTGATTCTTTCGATGATCTGCTTGTGAACGTCGACTGGTCTCTGGTCTATGCAAGTGCGACGACGTCTGAGAAGTGGGACTCTTTTCTAGGAGTGTTCACACCCCATCTGAATGCCGTCGCGCCTGTCTGGCGCATTAAACTGCGCAATCAATCCACCCTGCCTGTCTCAGCCGATACGCGTGTGTTGGTGGTTCGTCGCCGCGTCGCTCTAGCGTGCTGTTCGCGTGCTGAGTACAAGGCACTCAATAAGCAGACACGGGCAGTTATTAGACGGGACTGTAGCGATCATACCAGGAAGCAGATTTCCGAGGCAGGTCACTCCGGCATGTGGCGGTGCGTTAAATCGATCATTGGCAGTAAACAGGGTGCGTCGGCCTACACCTAACATTCATACTGATACTCTGAATGACTGCTTCGTGAAGGTAGGGCCTACGACTGCCGCCAGCGGGCCGAACCGAGGCACGGCTTTGCCAGTCAGGCCCCCCGAGTTATGACCTTCTCATTTAAGGTGCGTCCTGTGTCATGCGATGAGCTGCTTGCAGCTATGTCTACGATGAACCCGACGACGTCCTGTGGCCTAGATGATCTTAGTACGCAGCTCTTACAGAAGTCTTTTCGTGGTGTCGGCTGTCCCCTACTTGACGTCGTCAATAGCAGTCTCATTGACGAAACGGTGCCCAGCGCCTGGAAACACGCTCTTGTCACAGCGCTCCCGAAAACCAATGATTTGAACGATCCTACCCAGTTTAGACCAATCTCTGTAGTGCCAGCGATAGCAAAGATAGTCGAGCGTATTGTTCATCATCAACTTAGTTCATATTTTAACGAGCATGATTTATTTTTGCATACACAACACGGATTTCTTACGAATTTTTCAACAGAGACCGCACTTACTGTAGTGGCTGATGAAATACTCACCGCGATTGATGCTGGGGAGATCGCTCTGCTTGTTTTGATAGATCTGTCAGAATGTTTTGACGTTTTGGACCACCAGCTTCTCTTATCGAAGCCTAAGATATACAATATTGACACAAATTGGCTTGAAAGCTACCTTTGCGGGCATACCCAACAGGTTCAGGTCAGATATTCTTCAGGCATACTGCGCGCTTTCATACTGCCGAATGGGATGAGGGTATTTCAGGGCACCGCCCTCGGGCGGCTCCTATCTTCCATTTTCTCGAACGATTTAGCGTTATGTTCAGAAGGTGCTACAATGATACAATATGCCGATGACACACAGATTTTGGTTACTGGAAAAGAAGGAAACGCAACAGCTTGTCGCAACCATGGAGAGTAACTTGTCACTTGTGTTCGACTGGTTTAACAACCACTCTATGAAAGTCAATACAACAAAAACACAGTTAATGGTTTTCGGGACGAAGGCTGTGCTGCGTCATATGCCTCCTGTGCATGTCAAGTTCGGGTCAGCTGTCATCGCCGAAAACAGCTCTGTCAAAAACCTTGGTGTGGTGATGGACAGAAATCTCACATTTGAACCGCGCATTGATCAGCCTGTTGCTAGGTCGATGGGCGCTCTGATGGCCCTGTCCCATTCCAAGCATGTACTCCCGAGAGACACCCTCGTTTACATGGTCAGAGCTCTAGTTCTTTCCTCCATTAGATACTGTATAACACTGTGTGGTACTCACGGAGCAACCTAGTTCCATCGCGTGCAAAAACTCGTGAACTTCTGTGCGCGGGTTGGGAGCGGAAGGAGAAGGTGTGACCATACATCGGATGTTGTCAGGAATATACGATGGCTTAGTGCTGATCAGCTCGTCAGATATTATAAGTTGTGCCTGCTCAAAAAAGTCTTACTCACGGGTCAGCCACCAGATATAGCCGCGATGTTCACACGTGCTGAGCACACTCATGAAACGCGGAAGGCTAACCAACTGAGCCGCCCCCGAGCGGTGAGCAACTCTGGCACTCGCCGATTTAGCTACAGAGCATCGGATCTGTTTAACTGCCTGCCGCCCGACTTGCGCAACGTTCAGAGTCTAGGTCGCTTCAAGCGCCAACTTAAGGAGTTTCTAATGAGTCAGGCGAACGTTGACA